AAAAAAAAAAAAAAAATAGAAAGAGCTATTACTTCTCTCTTACTTATGTATTCCATTATTTACTTATATCAGTATGGACTCGTGGACATTTATGAGTTAGAATCCATTACCATCATTATTTATTACATTGCCTGTATTGTACCAAAATTGGCCATTGGGAGCTCCTTCTGGTTGGCTTGTATAGTTCACATAGGGCTGCAGAAAGAACAAAATGTCTCCATCATTTTTTGAGCAGTTTCTTTCTTCCCAGCACCACAAGATGCTCCAGGCTCACCTTGTGCTTTCCTGCCTGAGTCCTGGAATCAGCCATTTCTCCAGGGAGCCCTGGTTCCCTTCATGGGAGAATGGTATGATATTTACAATCCATGGGCACCAGATATGCCCGTTGCTGGTAGGTGCTGGTGCTCCTCGGCCCTCTAGTGGAGGGAGCGGGGAAGTAACATACACGCCTACTAATATACAATAGCTCCCCCTCATTATTCGTAGTTTCAGTTACCCACTAATCGCGGTCCAAAAATATTAAAATATTTTGATAGAGAGAGAGATACCACCTTCACATAAATTTTATTACAGTATATTGTTAGGATTTTTCTATTTTATTATTAGTTACTGTTGCTAATCTCTTACTATGCCTAAGTTATAAATTAAAATTTATCATCATTATATATGTATAGGAAAAACATATATATAGGGTTCAGTACTATCCAAGGTTTCAGGCATCCACTGGGGTTCTAAGAACACATCCTCCACAAATAAAAGGGGACTACTGTACTATTATTAGCCACATTTTACAAATTAGGTAAATGAGGCACAGATAAGTTAAGCAATTTATCCAAAATCACAAAGCAAATATATAGTGGAACTGGGAAATGAAATATTGACAGATGTACCACAAGTATTAACAAGTGGAAGTACAGTAACTTCTTTATACATACATGTCAGCGGAAAGCCACGAGGCTAACATTCCAGCATAGATACTCTCTTCGGAAAATAGCTAGAGGTCCACAGTGATAACCAGAATAACAACCATCATCTACTGAACACCCGCCTGGGAACTGGGCACCCACAGTGTCTCCTTTATCCCTAACAACTCTGCAAAGTGGATATTACTATCCTCATTTTAAAAATCAAGGAATCAAGCAAGGCTCAAAGAAGCTAAGTGACTTGCCCGAGACTACATAGTTAAGTGACAGAGCCAGTAGTTGACCCCAGGCCTATGTGGATATAAAGTCCATGTTTTTGTTGTTGTCATTGTTGTTATTTTTTGGTTTGTTTGTTTGTTTGAGACAGAGTCTCACTCCATTGCCCTGAGTAGAGTGTCGTGATGTCAGCCTAGCTCACAGCAACCTCAAACTCCTGGGCTCAAGCAATCCTCCTGCCTCAGCCT